AGCATCGTTCAAAAGACACACCACCTTATCGTTGCCATGTCTTTGCTTTACAACATAGTCACCATGGTTGTGTTCCTCATTTATATGCCACCCAACACCATATTGTTCGTTCAAATTGCCATTGCCAAAGTGATTTGTATACAATGCATATCTATTTGCATCGTTCTGTCTTAATTTTGCTGATCTACTTAAATCGGTAAGCAATTCTTCACATGCATTTGTGTTAAACAACTTATATCCATCTTCCATAGTTTTATCGTCGAGCATTTTACTTTTAGATTCGATCTTTGGAGCCGGCTTGTTGCTCAACAAAGGTAAGCTTTCGTCATCATTTCCTCGAATCACTTTATCACTATTCTCATTAACTTTTTTATCTATCTCTATGCTTTCATTCACTTTCATTACAATTTCGCCCTTTGTATCCGTACAAACTGCATCGTTTTGATCACCACTCTTGATACTTCTATCCACATACTCTTCAATTCGCCTCATCATACTTTTTGGCTTTCCTTCTAATCCTTCGTTATCATCTTTCACTTTATTTTCTACTAACAATTCTCCACTTTCGATGAATTTTATACTTTCCTCAAATGCTTTATGATCGTCCTTTACTCCAATTCCATCGTTACAACAACACTCAACATTGTTTATTTCATCAACGTTTTCTCCTGACCTTTTATCATTGACTTCATTTGGTGCGCAACCTTCAAAAACCAAACGTTCATCCAGACTTCGGTTTTCAACAGATTCCGGGTTATCACTTGGTTTTGCCGATCTTTGGTAATTTCCGGATGCCTGATGCTCATCTATTTTAACTTCAATTCCAACTGCACCGCTGTTTTCAAAGTCGACTAAAGCTTGACTTTGGGAGGTGGTTGATTGGGTTCCTTTTGGCCGATAGCTATCGTTACTATTACTTTTTACTGTTGAAACGATTTCTTGTAATAACGTAGCTATTTGTGCCACTGGGCTTCTTGTTGCAGGAGGTACAAAGGTTGTTACTCTAGGGCTTGATGGACACATCAAATGAGGTACTTTGGTCTGATAAGCCAAGGAAGTTCCTCGTGCAATCATCGTTTCACACCTTCGGTCAGCAGCTTCAAAAAGTGTATTGGGTGTAAAGGATCTAACTGCCGATGCTAATTCAGGACGAAGACCTTGTACAAACATTTGAATCTTCATTTTCTCTGGATATTGCCTTGTAATAGCCACCCGTTCGAACAGCGACATCATATCCATAGCATATTGCTCTATCGTCTCTTCAGGGTGATGATAGCGATTTAATAATTCTGCATTCCACTGATTAATTAGAGCTGGTGTGCAAAACATTTGCCGAAATTGGTGCACAAAGCTTTGGTCTTTTATCACCTCATTGTCCCAGTATCGTATTCTAGCTTTTTGGCTTGACCAACATGATGCAGCAGGTCCAGACAGATGAGCACTTCCAATTATAAGCCGTCTTGTTCCCTGAATATTGTTCGTATCAAAGGCTTGTCTAGTCGACCTTAACCATTCGACAGGGTTTTGATTTTCTCCATTAAATATTGGAATTCTGACTAAATTTATTTCACCAAGATTCGCTTGAGGTTCTTTGGATCGTGCCAATGCGTTTACCATGGTCTGAAGCAACTGTTGGAGTTGATAGTTTGGGTTATTCGACAAAATTTCATTTTGGAGGGGGTGTTTTTCCACATATTATTTATTTATTTTTTTTGAATTTTACACCTATACTATTGTACTAACAGTTGTTTATATTATTATACTGATGTTCGTTTCCACTATCATATCCACACTCGTTCACACTATTGTTGTATACACGTTTGTCCTTTTACCATTGTAGCGCTCATCCACACTTATTTCCGAAACGTTTATCCTCAACGTTAACCGTACAAACTTAACAACATTCGCTCACACAGTATTACCCACGTTGTACACACAACAATTATCAATGCTTGTTTACAATAATTATCAACATTCGGTTCATACAATATTATCAATGCTCATTCGTATAGTATTATCGGCGTTCGCTTGTACTCGATGTTTATCCACACCCTTCAGCGTACAATTGATTTTATCAACTACTTGTCCACAAGAATATTGACACCTTCTTTTGTTCATCCACAAGATTATCAACGCCTTCTATTGTTCGTCCACACAATTGGCACCAAAATGTTACGACTAGGGAGAGCTTTTGTATTTCCAAGCCAATTTAGTCCAGCGCCGTA